CACAACATATATGGATCATATGTTTTACATATTATAAATATACTAATATATTTTTATTTGTGATAATTGAATGTTCAAAAGGCTTGTGCCTTATCGCCTCGAGGCTTACGCCTCGCTTTGCGAGACATAAAACGCCTCACTTCAACGCCTCGCCTTTCAAAACATTGATATCATATGACGTTGGAAATAATGCAAACGATGACGTCTTTCAAGTCTTTTAGTAACAAGGGTTCTTGAGTGCAGTAGTCATTTTCACATGTTCTAGAGACTGAACGTCGTGAAAAACATAAAATCATATGAACATGCGAAAAATATAAAATCATATGAACACATGTGTGTACAAAGTATGCTGTTATAGTAGCTTACGTCAAATTAATTACATTGAAGAGGCGGTTAGGGTACAAAACTTTACCCTTCGAATTGCCACGTATGTCAACAGACCACAATTTGAAGAATTTACTTTGAAGAGACTATCGGAAGAAAGCATTTTTGCTCACTTTTTTTTTTTTTTTTTTTTTTTTTTTTTTTTTTTTTTGGGTGGGGGGTATTCAAAAGGTGGAAAGATAATAAATGGTGGGGGGGGGGGGGGGGGTTTCCAGGTTCGGCTTGCTTCCTGGTCACAAAGTACTTTCAACGGGTTTCGAACCCCTACCATTGAGACACCAGATAACTCGCCAGCTGAAGGTGGCAATTTGCTTGTGTCCATAAACATAAATATGGTTACATAAACAAATAAAATAAAAAAAAATAATTACACATAATAGACACGTATCAAATATTTTAAACGATAATCATTATATAACTTGAGTTAAAATATTCAGCAAAAATATTTCCCCATTGAAGTTGCTATTATATGTGCAAGGCCAACCAACACAAGTCACGTGACCACTTAAAAAACCACACAAGCATATGGATACAAATTGAGCAACAAAAGTCAACAAAGGTCACAATGAAAAAGTTATGAACAAACACACTTATTAATTCCAATGCAATGCCTAAGATCGTTCATATTTATTATTAGTAATTGGATCGGCCCTCATGACGATATCTGAATTTTCGGCGATTTTGACACAATTAATTTCGATGATTTTGATGCTATATTGGGATCGATCATTGACACCTATATTGCCAACGACGTCATCGTTGGCATTACGGTAATCAGCATACAACTTGAGTTAAAATAATAAACACAATTATTTTCCTATTAGAGTCGCTCTTATATGTGCAAGGCCACCCAACACAAGTCACGTGGCCACTTAAAAAACCACACAAGCATATGGATACAAATTGAGCAACAAAAGTTAACAAAGGTCACAATGAAAAAGCTATGAAAAAAACACACTTATTAATTCCAATGCAATGCCTAAGATCTTTCATAGTTATTATTAGTAATTGGATCAGCCCTCGTGACGATATTTGAATCTTCGGAGATTTTGGTACAATTAATTTTCGATAATTTTGGAGTAATATAGGAATAGCAATGCAAACTCAAACTAAAGGTAGCATGCTAACCGGATTCACAAATTTTCCCACAAGTGACGTCAAAATCCTATGAGATGCTTTACAGAAAATAGCAAGGATTCTAATATTTGAAATCCAGGGACAAAATTATGCCACCACTAATGCCAAATTATCCAAACAAGAATCAAAATATGAACCTAAAATTGAGAAGTCATTCATAAATATCTCAATAAATCGTTCCACCATGTTAGAGAAATTGCTCATCATGCAATGGGAAAAAATAAGTTCTGTCATTCACCCCATATTATAACACGTATAGAAGATGCACCACATAACTATACTATCGTAGTATTCTATAATTTCTATAGCAGTGCACGTCTTGCAGTTGTAGCTATATCCCAAAGTAGACACTTCTATCATCTGTCATATGATGTTATAGTACTAGTGTAAATATCCAAAGACATGAACTATTAACAACCTCAATGAATACACTGACACGAACTATTAACAACCTATTAACAACCTCAATGAATACACTAACATGAACTATTAACAACCTCAATGAATACACCACCGATGTCATCGTTTGCATTATATTGTGTATTCACTTGACAAGTATGCCCAAATTTTGGAAAATTATCCTATATATATATAGGTAAACCATTCTTCAATGATTTAATAAAACTGCGAACCCAAATTTTGAGTCCTTTCGAGGAAAAAACTGTTTAGCCTCCTAACATGTATTTCCCAAACAAATACGATTGTATCAACAGTAGCATGGATATTGATTGAAAAAAATAAAAATTAGTGACGTAGGGCATAACGAAGTCGATGATGTTGTACGACTTTGTCATAAATTTACTATTAAAGCATGTTCTATTTTCAAAAACGAGAAACATAATTAACAATACTTCGAAGCTATACGACTTTGGATAAGATTATGATTAGTGAGAATGCTTAATTGGAGAAAATAATCATAATTTGTGGCAACTTGGTGCTTGTCTTTGACTTACACAAATGTGTTTAAGCATCTACCATCATACTTCCTATTTTTTAATTAAAATTTAGTTAAAAATACACAAAATCTAATTCAATATAATTGGTCAATCTCTATAAAAAAAAAAAAGTTAGTATTAATTAAAAGTTTAAAATATGCATAAAACAAAGCAGTATTAAATTATAGAGAGCCACTAGGAGTCATTTCTCTTTACTTAGATTTAGGAACTCCTAGAGGTCTCCCTATTTTAGGACATGGATAGGGTTCTCCTTAGATTTACGAGCTCTTATTAGAGTTGTATTTTTCCAATTCCTCCCTAAAATTTAACTAAGGAGGGTGGTTTAATGAGTCCATTGCGGATGTTTTTAGGCCCCGTTTGGTTCATGGAACAGATTTGAGAGGAAATCATTTCCCATGTCATTTCCCAAGGAATGAGAAATGGAAAATTCTTTTCTCATGTTCGGTAATGTTAGGAGAGTAACCGAGAGATATCACTTTATTTCCTTTCCCATGTTTGTTTTGAGTAGGAATGGAAAACAAAGTTTGTATAATTTTTCAATTATACCCATATTAAATCAAATAAAAAAAGAATGCATTTAATTATATATATTGTAATTCTAAAATGTTAATGAGGATAAAAATGGTCATGAACAATGTGCATTTAATGTTGGCTCATTTTCCCAAACTTTCCTATGATGAGAGAAAACAAAATCCAAATTGGGAGGAGGACTTCACTTTTCCCCTACTTTCTCATGTGTCAGGCAACTATTTCTCATGCTTGGACTTACCAAACATGGGAAAGTAATTGATTTCCCATTCACAAGCCTCATTTCCCATAAACCAAACGGGCTTAAAATTCTTCTGGGTTCCTTGGGTATGGACCTTGTTGGAATTTTTGTGAGTATTTCAAAATACAAAATTATTATTAAATTTATATTTGTTATTATTACTATATTTATTGAATTGAAATTTTAAATATGTGTTAAATGGTGATTTTAAAAGTTGAGATTTCAAAACCTTTTCCTTTTGGTATAGCTGGACGTGTTCTATTGATATGAATATTAAAATCTCTTTTGGCAGTTTTGTTTTGGATTTTAATGTCTTGAATTTGGAGAAAACATGTAGACCATTTTAACTGTGGGAGCATATTATGCATCTTAATTGCTTGTTTAATAACCAAACCTCCACTTGGAAAGCTCCTATGTATAAACCATATTCAAGCTATACGTTGAAAAAAAAGGAGAAATTAGATTGGCACATTTCTTCATTATTTTCTACTCAACACTCTTGAGTTTGTGTTTCAATTTGTTTTCTTTTATCAAGGGAAAGATTTGAGTTGTTCATCCGACCCACGTATTGCCAGTGTACGCTTATGAGGGTCATAGGTTGTTGTATCCTGGAGGGTATGGCGCCATACAACCTTGCTACACAGAGACATTGTCTTCGATGGGTGAAATCTACTCTTAAGGACAGTGAATGACATGCCTCAACCTAAAACTATTTTACTCAAGTATTAGGTAGAATGATTTTCTACATCCCAAAAGATAAGTATCTTACTGTAATTTCATTAATTGTATTTAATCTACTATATCAATGTAAATTATAATTTTCTAATATATATTTTCTATAATGTTTTGCAGGAAAAGTAGCATCCTTCAACCAAATTTTCCAACAAACCTTCCCTTCTCAATGCTAACATGGATATGCATTGTATTCTATATGTTGAAGAATCAAAACAAAGAGTATTTTTATTTTATTTTTTGGGGTTTCTTTTATTGAGAAAAATGTAATAATCAATACTTTAGGACTTTCGTTAAAGACTCCGACATTTTCCCAAAAGACTTTGTTTTGTCATTTTTATTTTCAGAGATGTGGTGAATTACATACCTATAAGACAGACTGGAACCCTTTAAATTCGTCATTAATAGGCGACTTTCTTTCAAACTATCAGAGAAAAAGTCTTCGTTTAAGTAGAGAAGCTTCCCTAGTCTGTCGGTTGGCCTTTCTAGTCTCAATCCTGTTCCAGTTCAATCTTGGGTATTTAAGTTGTGTTCTTATCATCAAAGACTTCATTTAGAAAAAGAATAAAAAGAGACTTTGTTAGAGGACTTGGACAATAAATAATTACAAAACTATTGTTCCTAAATTTTATTAGAGTGTTATTAAATGAACCTTAAAATTAATTGAGTACACTCTACTATCAAATTATTTATTGAATTACTAAATATAAAATGACCAAAAAGGATATATTGAATTGTGAAATAAATATAATTTTAATTAGTACACCGTACTCACCATATTCAACCCTAATGCTAAGCGAAAAACCTTTCCAAACTTCTTGTTGTACTTCGAGTGCAACCTTTCAAAGCTCTTCTAATTTACTGCCCTAGTTAAAGTGTCCAAGGTGAAGAAGCTTATAAGGCTATAAATAGGGCTGTAGGCAGGCATACCGAACTCACTGCGAAGACAAGCCATCCTAGTTATTCTGTGTTCTGACTTAAACCCCAAAATCTAGAGTTTCCATTCCAAGCAATTCATCACCATGGCCTCAGTCAGCAGTACTACTGCAAGTGATGAAACCATGGAGGTGGCTAAGAAGAACGTGTTTGCCATGAGTGACACAGAATTTTGGATGGCATTTATTCCACTCATGAAGTTAATCATGACCACGAATTCCTCTGACGTTCATTTCTCTTTTTCTCCATCACTCTCAAAGCATCATTAAGTGTCAAAGCAGATCGTCGAGAAGAGTATCAACCCAGAAGGTATGTATGGTACTATTATACTAGCTCTTAACAACCTTCGGTTGGGTGTGTGAATATTGGGAATAGTGTTTGGGGTGGGGGGGACATACCATTGAGGGGATTTTTTGAGTATTTTACACTTGTAATTTATTGTTTGTACGTAACTTGTTTTTGCAGGTCCCCCAAGTACATGTTGAAACTATGGATGGAATAACTATTTACACCAGCTTCCGCACGCCCTTGTGCGTTTAAAGTCCATAGTTGGAGAGGTAATTTCATTGCCTTTTAATTTATTTTCATCAATTGGGAGAAGGAACTCGAATTTGGGAAACATTCATTCTAAAAATTGAAAAGGATATGGAGAAAAAAAATTATCACAAAACCAACGCTAGAATGATGAAATTGAGATATACATAATTCGTAGTACATGTTTGTAGAGATATTCTTGATTCTAGACAATATTAATCATATTCAAGTTAATACATATATTACTCATCATGGTAATTAAATATGCAATTATTTCAGGTGCTATGTAAGGCTCCAGGTCAAGAGAATGCCCACGATGCTACGTTGAAAATACTTAACAAGGTGTCAAAGTATTCATGGGAAGCGAAGGCTGTGTTGGCCCTGGCGGCTTTTTCTTTGGAATATGGAGAGTTCTGGCTGAGTGCCCAGCATCAACAATCTGACCAACTTGCCATGTCTGTGGCATTCCTTAAGGGTGTGCCAATCTTTCTCAAGCCCGAAAACCTCAAGAAACGCGGCAGAGCTATCACTGATCTCAACAATGTGATCATGTCCACATTGCAAGTGATTGATTGCATCTTTCAATTGGAGAAGCATTCCATCACTTATAATGATGTAAAGGAGTTGAGAGAAATCTTGGCAAATGCAAGGAAAGATATCTGGGTGAATGTCTATTGGTGTATCATTACAACCGTAGCTTGCGCCACTAACATCACCCTCCTTACTAGTGATGAGTAAGTTTCATCCACATCTTCTCCATGCTTATACATCATGTACGCTTAATTAATCAATTGTTTAGATTGACAAGCAAACAATATAACATATACATCGCCCAAGTATCATTTACCAAGAACTGATTTGAACGTAGTATAACTGTTTTAATTCTTTCATATCAGGGGGAACTCACACGACCTTGTCCAGTATGCTCAGAAGATCACAATCATCCTCAATAAACTTAAGCAACAGCTGAAGATCTGCAAAGAGGAAATAGGTGGGTTTACTTGATGCGCATTCACAAGGAAATGCATATGTTGCTCTGGCAATACAATGCTGACATTCCTTTTTTGTATTATTTAATACAGAGAAGTTACAGACCTACATGAAGCTCAAACAGCTCTTCCAAATTCCTACTGAGATTATGGAGGTTATGAAGATCCTAATCTTTTTCAAACATAATGCGGAGACAACCATTTTCGATGGTTCCACTGAGAAACTGGTTTGCTCTCTCATCATAGCACATTAATTTCTTTTGAATTTTGAATGAATAAAGATATTTACAAATTTGTGTCATGCACATTATTTTATAATTGCGTGCATAATGTTAATTTCTAACAGGTTAACATCGACATCCTAAGGACGAAGAATGTGTTGTTGTTCATTTCGAGCCTAGAGATATCTGAGGATTATATTGCTTGTCTCAGACCCATATATGATTTTACAAAGGATAATAATGAGTATAAGATTGTTTGGATTCCTATAGTAGAGAAGTGGACTATAGTTCTGCAACGCAAGTTTGAGGCCCTGCGGGCTAAGATGCCATGGTACACAGTAGGCCAGGGTGGTGCCCACATTGCAGGCATCAAGTACATCAGTACATCAAGGAGGATTGGAACTTTAATGGTAAGCCTATGCTGGTTGTGTCGAACACAAAGAGTCCGCTCCAACATTTCAACGCTCTGCGCATGATTTCGATATGGGGATGCCAAGCCTTTCCTTTCACACAGGAAAAAGAAGAACAGCTCTTACTTTCTCTCCAAGATACATGGTTTTCCCGCGTTAATGGATGGCATTAAGATATCCACGTGGGTGAGTTCTTCCTAACAAATTGATGGATGTTCATTTTATAATTTACGTTGTCCATGCTAATTGCACATACACGTAATGCCTGCACACACAAAAAATCAAATAGATATAAGAAATTTGTTGTGTTCTATAGTCTATAGGCAAACACTGTGTATCAAATAAAAATCGAACGACAATAACGCAAATGACTAAATAACTTCTGATTTGGTTTTTTTTAAAGGAGAACCTAAAAAAATTAGGATTCAATTGCAGGCTGACGATAATATGTTCTCATGAAAAATTAGGATTTAAAGTGATCACTTTTCTTAAATGCAAACATCGCGCAGTTGGAAACTAACTGTATATATACATTTTATTTCCCACAGAACAAAGACGATTACATTTTCTTCTACGGAGGGGATTCAGTGTGGATGAATCAGTTCAAGGAGAAAGCAACTGCCCTTATAAATGATGAAATAAAAAATGAACCAAAGATTTCTATTGAGTTATATCCTGTGGAGAAGAACGCAAATAATGACAGAGGGGATGACAGCTTTAGCACCTTCTGGTCCGCCATAGAAAGCATGTTCCATATCAAGGTTATCAATAAGCAGATTGAGGACGTGGTAAAACAAGTTCAGAAGCTGCTTTCCTACAAAGATGACAAGAGTGGATGGGCTGTTTTCATCCAAGGCCGTAGGCTTGTGGCCCTTGGTGGTTCGACAATGTATACGGTTCTCGAGAAATACCACACGTGGAATCAGAACGTAACACTAACAGTAGAAAACTTTGGACAAGTTTTTAATCAACAGCATGAGACGGAGGTTGAAGAAACTGGTCACGTCTGCAGCTGCTTTAGCATCCCAGGTGCAACTGGAAGCACCCTAGAGGCAATGGTATGCTACGAGTGTGGCAATTCCATGGAGACATTCTTCAGCTATAAGTGCTGCCATGTCAAGAAGAAGGCGCGTTTGTGTTGGCGAGATATCCTAGCCCTATTAGGATATTTCGTTATTATCCTATTAGGATTTTATTTATTTCCTTTTGTATAAATATTATGTAATTAGGATTTTTCTTATTTCATAGTATAACTCTACTAGGGTTTGTAACCTTGTATTATAAATACTTCATTTTGGAGAATGAAATATATCTGAAAAATATTCTACCCATATTGTTTGACTTGGCATCAGGGCCGACTTTCTGGTGACCTGTGTTGGGTTTGTCGTATTTGCTTCGTATTGTGTTTTTTTTTCTGCTGTTATCATGGATGATGAATCCAAAGACATGGTGGGTGCTAATGCGTCTGCAACAAAGGAGGAACGTCCCTCGCGTGATTACTCAACCCCGATTACTTCTGACAAATTGGATGGCTCCAATTATGCCTCTCGGTCTCGTGGTGCGTGTATTACAATTACTACTAGTCGTATGGCAAGTTGGATTAATGGGAAGAAGCCTGCTCAGTCTTCAGATTCCGCTGTCTCACTACTACATTTTACACTTTGCACGACGAAAAATACATTGTAGTCACACAAATTTTAGCGCAACAGAAACTTCGTCGCGCAGATTCCGTCTCGCAAAGATCGTGAAGAAAGACTTTGCGCGACGAATCTTTTTCATTCTTCGCGCAAAGAGACTTTGAGCGACCCAAAAATATTGGTCGGGCAAATTGACTTTGCACGACGAAAAACATTGGTCGCGCAAAGTTACTTTGCGCGATGAAAATATTGGTCGCGCAAAGCGACTTTGCGCGACGAAAAAATATTTTGGTTTTTGACTTTTTGTTTTATTATTTTGGTTTTATATTAATTTAATTATATTAATTATTTCAAATTTTTGTGCGACGAAATATTAATTTAATTATATTAATTATTTGCGCGACGAAATATTTTGGTTTTTGACTTTTTGTTTTATTATTTCTTTAATATTAATTTAATTATATTAATTATTTCGAATTTTAACTTTTTAAATTTAATTTAATTGTATGATTTTTTTCGTTACTTTAATTTAAATTGATATTTATTTAATTATATTAATTTATTCAAAATTTTACTTTTTAAATTTAATTTAATTACTTTAATTTAAATTGACATATTCAAAATAAAATTACATATGAAAAATAGTGATCAAATTATCCAATAAATATATATATAATATTCAAAATGTACACATAAATTAACAAAGTACAATAAATAAATAAAGGGATAATCTCCCCTAAAATTGTTATACAACAAATCCAACCCAAACTCCAATCCCTCCCCTTTACTCAACCCCAAACCCCACACAAACTCAAAACTAACTCCAAAAACACATATTAATGAAAAAAAATTTAAAATTTGGAGAGAATCTACCTTTTGGCAAGATTGAGAGTGAGTGAGAATGAGAGAGAGAAGTGAGTGTGAGAGAATTAGAGAAGAGAGAGTGAGTGAGAGTGAGAGATAGTGAAAAGAGAGATGAGAGAGTGAGTGAGAGTGAGAGATAGTGAAGAGAGAGATGATGAGAGATTAAGTGAGAGGAGTGAGTGTGAGAGAAATGGTGGGATTTGGGGAGAGGGAAAGAGAGAGGAGAGGTAAGAGTAGAGAAAGACACTGAGAAAATGGTGGAGTTATTTTCATTTTAAAAACGGTATCACTTTGCGCGACGAACGATGTTATTGGTCGGGCAAAGTTTTGCTCGACGAATATTAGTATATTGGTCGCGCAAAGTCAAAAAAAAAATCCCGCGTCCCATTTTTTGTACCTGCCCAAATTTTGAAATTTTTGCGCGACGAAAAATACATATTGGTCACGCAAAGTCTAATAAAATTCCCGCGTCCTATTTTTGGTACCCGCCAAATTTTTGCACGACGAAAAATATATATTGGTCGCGCAAAGTTTTGAACGACACAAAATATTGGTCGCGCAAAGTCTAATCCGCGTCCCATTTTTGGTACCCGCCCAAATTTTTGGAGTTTTGCGCGACGAATTGTTGGTCGCGCAAACTTTTGAGAGACGAAAAATTGGTTCGTAGCACGATATTTATAAAAATAATTGTTATGAATAATAAAAATAAATTTTTTTTTAACGATTTAAAATATAAATAAGGTTAAAGCTACTTAATAAATGTATATACCAATTTCTTAAGTATTATACGTACAAAATAAATAAATTTAAAGCTACTTAATAAGTAAATAAATATATATATATACACACACCATTCAACGATCCAACCGTCAGACTTGTTTGTATATACTTCAAGATTGTATACCCCAAAAATCGCAAAAAACAAACATTCGGAGACCCAGTAACGGGACAAAAAATTTCAACAGTTCTAAATGAAAAATCATGATTTAACGGTTATTTTAACTCCGATTTTGATGATTTTTTACAGCTACACTCATTGACCTTATATGAATACAATGAACTAATTCGATCGTCAATTTAAAATATTTACACTAGTGGATACGACAAAATCTTATGTTATATTTAACAAAAGTATAAATAAACTCTTAATTGTTAGTGAATATATTGTTTTGATGGCATACGCATTCTATGAAACTAGTTTGAACGATCCAACCGTCAAACTTGTTTGTTTATACTTTCAGATTATATACGCCAAAAATAGGAAAAAATAAACATTCAGAGATCAAGTAATGGGACAAAACTTTTCGACGGTTATAAATGAAAAATCATGATTTAACGGTTATTTTAACTCCGATTTTGATGATTTTTTACCGCTACACTCCTTTACCCTATATGAACACAATAACTGAATTTGATCTTCAATTTAGAATATTTACACTAGTGGATACCACAAAATCTTATGTTATATTTAACAAAAGTATAAATAAACTCTTAATTGTTAGTGAATATATTGTTTTGATGGCATACACATTCTGTGAAACTAGTTTGAACGATCCAACCGTCAAACTTGTTTGTTTATACTTTCAGATCATATTCGCCAAAAATCGGAAAAAATAAACATTCAGAGATCAAGTAACGGGACAAAACTTTTTGACGGTTATAAATGAAAAATCATGATTTAACGGTTATTTTAACTCCAATTTTGATGATTTTTTACCGCTACACTCCTTTACCCTATATGAATACAATGACTGAATTTGATCTTCAATTTAGAATATTTACACTAGTGGATACCACAAAATCTTATGTTATATTTAACAAAAGTATAAATAAACTCTTAATTGTTAGTGAATATATTGTTTTGATGGCATACGCATTCTACGAAACTAGTTTGAACGATCCAACCATCAAACTTGTTTGTTTATACTTCAAGATCATATCTGCTGAAAATCGGAAAAAATGAACATTCAGAGATCAAGTAATGGGACATAACTTTTCGACAGTTATAAATGAAAAATCACGATTTAACGGTTATTTTAACTCCGATTTTGATGATTTTTTTATAGCTACACTCTTTGACCCTATATGAATACAATGATCTAATTTGATCGTCAATTTTAAAAATATATTTTCTAACAAAAACCCAATCCAAACAACAATAATATATTTTTCTAACAAAGATTTTAAAAAATAATTTTTTTAAATTTATTTATTTTATAAGGACTTTGCACGACGAAGTTTTGTTGTTTCGTTGCTCAAAGTAGCTTTGCGCGACGAATTTTTTTTCGTCCCACAAAATTTGGTCGCGCAAAGTCACTTTGAGCGACGAATTATTTTTCGTTGCGCAAAAGTTGGTCGCGCAAGGTTTTTAGCGACGAAATTTTTAGTTTCGTCGCGCAAAGTGACTTTGAGCGACGAATAATTTTCCGTCGCGCAAAATTTGGTCGTGCAAGGGTTATTTTGTAGTAGAGGCTATGCCGAATGGGAAGAAGATAATTGTTTGGTGCAGTCATGGCTTTCAATCCATGACTAAGCCAGTTCGTGCCTTGTTTGAACATGGTGATACTGCTTTTGATATATGGGAGGCTGCCCGAAAGACCTATACTGTGACTTAGAATAGTTCTCAATTGTTTCAACTCCGACGGCAGTCCATACATACATGTTAGAATGGTGATTCTGTCAAAGTGTTCTATGAAAAACTCCATGCTATCTAGCAGGAGATTAATTGTCTGCGTCCACATGAGTTTAAGTGTGATGATGATGGGGCTCGTCGTTTGAAAGAAATTGAAGCCAATCGAGTTTATGATTTTCTTGGAGGACTTGATCCACCGTATGATGGTGTCCGTAGCCATATCCTTGCTCTTAGTCTTGTCCTGCCCCTTCTCGAAGCCTATGCCATGGTCATGGAGGAAGACACCCCTCAGTCCGCTATGCTTGGAGGAGGTTTAATGGCCCTCAAAGTTGACCTAACACGTCAACGACCGATCGCACAGCACGACACGACCAGTCGCTCCTCATCCAGAAAATTTTCTTCTCTTGTTAGGTCTCGTCCTTCTGGCTCTACCCCTAGCTCTCTTGACGGTCCTCCTAAGTGTCGTCATTGTAATGAGAATCATTACTCTGAGAAGTGTTTTAAGGACCATGGTTATCCCGATTGGTTTGCTGACAATAAAGCTCGTATGTACGGTTCCAAGGCCGCCTGCACTGTGACTCAAAATGAGGCTCGTCCTCCAGCTCGTCTGCTTATCTGTGTGCTTCCGATACCATTCCATGTATGAGTTCTAATACTTGGATAATTGACACTGGTGCTTCTGATCATATGACTTATGATGATAATATGTTTGATGAGTTGTCTCATAACCCTCGTGACCTTTATATTACTAGTGCTAATGGTTTACCTTCCCCAGTTATGAGTGAAGGCACCATCCACCTTACTCCTTTACCTCTGTCCCATGCACTCTTGGTTCCAAATATTCGTTGCAATTTGTTATCTGTTGGGTGTTTACTTGATACACTTAATGCGTCTGCTACTTTCTATTCTACCCATTGTTTTTTCCAGGATCTCAAGACTCACGAAAAGATTGGGCATGGTAAACGAATAAAGAGGTTGTATTACTTACAGTTACCGGCTACAGCAATTTGTGGTTGTGTCTCTAATAAAGTCCAAAGTGCCAGTGTCAAAGACAAGCAACAACTTTGGCTGTGGCATCGTCGCTTAAGACATTTGTCATTTGGTTATCTTAAACATTTGTTTCCTTCATTATTTAGTTCGTGTGATGAGATTAGCTTCAAATGTGAGACTTTTGTAATGGCCAAGAGCCACCGTACTATTTTTCCCTTGAGTAATAATAAAACTACATTGCCTTTTGAGTTAGTACATTCTGATGTATGGGGCCCTGCCCATGTGACTTCTCATGGTTTCCGTTGGTTTGTCACGTTCATTGATTACTGCACTCGCTTAACATGAGTATATTTGATGCAGCATAAACATGATGTTGCCTTTATTCTTCCTGTTTTTTGTGCTATGGTGTCTTCATTTGATAAAATAATGGGCAACAATATTATGTTGTGGTGCCCACCGATGTTTGTTTTTGTTTCAAGTACTGCAATGTTATTGTGCTCTTCTTTTCAGTATTGTTAAGCTTAAAATAAATATTCCTTGGTAACTCATGCTTCCCATTTAATTTAGGCAAAATTGCGGCTAGTTTTGCCCCTTTGTTATAATCGCCGTCAATTTTTTGAATGTCCATCTAAATTTTCATCAATTTAAGGGGCAAATTCGAAATTTTAAAGGAAAATAAAAAAAAAAAAAAAAAAATAAGAGAAAAAAAAAAAAAAAAAAAAAAAAAAAAAAAAAAAAAACCCCCATTAGCCGCAAAAACCATTGATGACCACACTCCCCACCCAGCCACCTCCTTCCCTGCGACCACTGACCAACCACCACCGGCACAACCCTTAACCCTCTCTCTGATGCACCTCCCCCACCAACCTATTTTGTCATGGCTATCACCAACATCGTCACTGCCACCCCCCCGCCACCACCACCATCACCATTGCCACATCCACTGTCACCATCTACACCGCCACATCCACAGCCACCAACATCATCACCATTGCAACTCCTACCGTCGTCACCCCTACCACAACCACAACCACAACCATCGCCCGAGCCACCCCTAGCGCCACCACCTACACTACCACCACAGCCACCACCGCTACCACTCTCACCATTACCACCACCCTAACCGTCACCACCTTCACAACATCCACCACCACAACCAATACCACTCTTGCCTTCACCCCCACTGTCACCACCACCGCCACCATCACTGCCACCATTACCACTATTGCCTCTACCATCATCGTCACTGCCACTCCCACCTTTGCCATCCTCACCATGACCACGACGGCCACCACAATCGTCGCCTCCACCCAAACACACCAACACCCCAGCGCCACCACCTCTACCCCACCATCACCCACCACTGCCTCCACCTCAACCACCACCACCACCATCACAACCACCCCCCACCGTCACCACCCCCAATCACCTTCAACACTGCCACCCCAAAGCCACTACCACCACCCACACCCCAACAACACTACCATCCCCATATCACCACCGCCACTGTCACTGTCATTGTCAGCGCCACCGTCGTCACCACTGCCATCTCCTACTGCCACCACCACCACCACTTGACATGGTCATTTCCACCATTCTCCCCACCACCATTAATGAATCTACCATTCCCACCACACCATCTGTACTACCATCAACAACATCAAACACGATGACCTACCACTATAATTTTCGAATTTATAGAAGTTTATTATAATTATAAAAATGGAATAAAAACAGTCTATCAAACTCTATGATAAGATTCCAACAAATTTCATCAAAATGCTTATGAAATTCAATTGGTACTAACTACTTTAAAATCTATTAAAATCCACTATTAAAATCTATCAAACTGTATAAATTCCATAAAGTTCTAACTACTTTAAAATCTATTAAAATCTTAATTGAATACACCAACCAATCTTATCGAGCACCATATAGTATTCACGTGTGGAGATTGAGAATTGATCTAACCAATCAAAACCAGATTACCAACTAGATCTATTGCTCTATGGGTATTTCCGTCCCACGTTATGGTCATATAATGGTCACACCAAAAAATTACTCCATAAATTGAATGTTTCTCCCCCTAGTTCAAATAAAAAGTTAGTCAATCAATGGAACAAATTGACATTCATTTTATCAGGGAGCGTGTTATCGGAAATAATATTATTCTACAGTTAGTGTCCTCCAATGAACAATTTGTAGACATTCGTACCAAAGGCTTTTAAGCTCCTTTCTCTTTCTCAGACATTGTCACAATCTCATGCTTGGCTGCTCCACTCCTGAGATTGCGGGGGGATGTTAGAGTCATATATCAGACGTATCAAATTGTGACAAGTGGCACAATCTAAGCCTAGTTTTGTTAGCTCAACTGTTAGTGTTGTTAGAGTATTGTTGATGCCCAAAAATGGATGACCACTATTGGACCCAACTTAAGAGTAAGGATGCCTTTAGTCTTGTGGGCCATTCGGCAGATGTAAGTAATCTACAAGACAAAGAGCAACGGTAAGACCTTGGGTATTTGTGTGATACCGGCCAAAGGCTCTTCGACATTTAAATTAGCTTAAGGATGGAGTGATTAATATATTGGACAAAGTAAGGGCTTGATAGCCAAAATCAATGTTACCTCGTTTTCTGGGACTTAAGCCCTTTTTATAGAAGACCAAGGTGGTAGACCTTGGATTATTATTTCAATGTGGGATTGTGGATATCACTTGAGAGGCTGCCACCTGTCTTTACCCAAACTAGTGTGACAAGTGCCTTCTTAAAACATTAAATAAAAAGAAAAGTTGTAAGCAAATATCAATATTTTTTGCTATATAGATACAAGCCCACTAACAATATAGTGATGTAAGGCAGTGACGAAATCGATGGCGTTGGACGACTTTGTCACTCGGGCAGAGTCGTGGAGTTGTACAGAAAAAGAGTATTGTTTCAGATTGAAGCCAGCCACATGCAATTTCTTTCGGACGTACGCTAAAGAGATGTCATATAAAATAATTTATTATTATTAAAGCATGTTCCATGTGAATATAATGAATGGTCTACGACTTTGGATAAAATTAATTAGAGAAAACAGTGTAATAATTAGTGGCAATACTTTAAAACTTTTGTTAAAGACTTCAACTCTTTCCCAGAAGGCTTCGACAGGCAGAAGCCCTAAAGACCCTCATGAATAGGCGACTTTCTTATAGACTCAACACTCAGTTATCATAAAAAGTCTTTCTTATAGGCCATCATCATGTAGTCATCATAAAAGTCAAAACGCCGGCCCCTCAAGCAGAAGCCAAGAATTTGCAAGGTATTTATTTGCCACTGCGCACTCGCTTTTTTTTTTTTTTTTTTTTTTTTTTTTTTTTTTTTCTTTTGGTGCAAGGTGCAGCATGCATGCGCGAATAACCAGCCGGTGTCATATCATATGGTCAGATGGTCTCTTGTTTCTTTGGTGGTGGTTGTCGTTTGGCACAATACAGAACATGTAATCTGCAATTTTAACAGTGGGGGTACATTTGTCATTTGATTTTATTTATGGGCTTGTCCAATATAGATTCCTGCATTTTCTATTTCCTAGACATATACCCATTATTCTATAAATTTATATGCAAAACCCAATTTCAAATTTAAATGACCAGTAGGATATAAGAGGTCATAGTATTCCTACGTTTTTACATCATTGCCACTAAACTTCATATTTTATTTATAATTTATTTCAAGCATTTTATTAACTACCATAACTGTAATTAATACTCCTTATTAATAGCATATTAATCACCCCATTTCTTTTGGTTACTATTCTCTCTAACATTAACATATCGCCCTAAAAATTGCAAACTAAAAATATATATATGTAAATTACATATCCAATAATGTACCTATGAAAAATATAAATATAAATATATACGTATAAAAATATAGGTATATTATTTACCAAAAAATTTACAAAAAATAGGTACATGATTATTTATAGAAAATATAGATACACAATAATTTATTGAAAATAATAGGTCGATTATTACAGAAAAATAGGCACATAATAATTTATAGAAAACATAGATACACAATAATTTGTAATAAAAAAATAATAGGAAGATTATTATCCATGAAAAAACTAAATTATAGAAAAATAGGTGTACAATAATTTATAATAAAAATAATATAGGTAGATTATTACAGAAAAATAGGTACACAATAATTTATAATAATAAAAATAGGTATATTATTATCCATGAAAAAACTAGGTACAATAAATGAAATCCAAGTTCTAAAATAGGTAATTATTATTTGGGAAAGATGGAACAAAATTTCAAAAAGGCAATAAGGAAAACAGACTTTTTTGGCCAACAAATTGTTGACTACATTAATGAATTTTAATAATAAAACGGATAATTAATTGTAGACAAAATTTTTAGAGGGAATCTAAATAGGGGTATTTTGACAATCAAAAAATTATAATAAATCAGATATTGAGCTTAATAAGGTAACTTGATGAGTTGGATCCTAGTTATGGGTTTTTACTTATAAAATTGGGTATTATTTATAGAAACAAAAAGTGAAGGGTTGTAGGTAAAGTAAGTTGAATTTGAAGGGTGTGAGCCAAATTTACTATTTATTTATTTCAGAACAAAATGGCAAGGCAACTGAGATTCACGAGCAGGCGAGGGGAAGGTCCGGTGGGATGGAGATTTCTGAGTCTGAGGAGAGATTCCAAACCTTGGTTTATCAGGATAACAAAAAAGTGAACAACGTATTTGATGGTTCTAAAATTGGCGCCCTGGTTTGTTTATCCTTGCTAAAATATGAATATGGTTTGAATGTATTAGGTTAACTTTATTCTTCTTCATAAGGAGGTATATATAAGAGTTTACATGTGGACTTTACAAGGAATTAGATACATAAAAAATCAGGAAAATATCTCCTAATTATACAATGCTTTATCAATTATAAAACAGAGGAAAGTAAATCCCTTAATTAATCAAGGAAATAAATCTTCTTGATTAATTAGGAGACTCACGTGAACACTCCTTCCCAAGTTGGTGCATATACGTCACCAATACCCAACTTGGTAAGTGAGTCATGAAATACTCTTCCACAAATAGATTTGGTTAAGATATCTGCCAATTGATCTTCTGATCTTACAAATGGCAGGCGGATCACCTTCTTCTCAATTTTTTCTTTGATAAAATGTCTATTCACCTCAACTTGTTTAGTTTGATCATGTTGAACTGGATTATGGGCAATATCGATGGCTAACTTGTTATCACAATGTAACTTCATTGGCTTTCCTGACTTGAGACCCAATTCTGTCAATAGTCTTCTGATCCACAGTAATTCACAAACTCCATGAGCCATTCCTCGATACTCTGTTTCAGCACTAGATCGAGAAACCACATTTTGTTTCCTATTCCACCAAGTGACTAGGTTACCTCTCACAAAAGTGAAGTAACATGAAGTAGAGCATCTGTCTATAACGGAGCCAGCCCAATCAGCATTTGTATATCCAACAACTTCGAGATCTCTATTTTTTGAAAACATTAATCATTTTCCAGGTGCCGACTTTGTATATACAAGTAGGAATATATTTTACCATCTTTTGATCGGATCTGCATATAAAAAGAATGAATTGTATTAGTTTGAGAAAGCCACAATTTCTTTGGGCAAGTAGGCTAATGATATGCATAATTAGCAAGACTTGGAAGGTATACGACTTTGGATAAGATTATGATTAGTTGGAATGCTTAATTGGAGAAAATAATCATAACATGGGGAACATGTTAAAATGCTTTTGGGTTCCCTTCTCAATGCTAAGACAGACTGGAACCCTTTGAGGAGAGAAGCTTCCCTAGTCCTGTTGGTTGGCCTTTCTAGTCTCAATCCTGTTGCAGTTCAATCTTGGATATTTAAGTTGTGTTCTTATCATCAAGGACTTCATTTAGAAAAAGAATAAAAATAGACTTTGTTAGAGAACTTAGACAATAAATAATTACAAAACTATTCTTTCTAATTTTTTTTTTACACATTTTGATTAGGTTTTATTAGCTTTCTTACTCTACACACATATGTAACATTGTATATACCTTGCCAACAAGGGTTGGCTCAGTTGGTAAGGTCCTTGTACTGTATCCTCCACCAATGTTTGAGTCTCGCTATCAGCAGTTTCATGTTGGTAGATAATTTGTAAATCCGAAAAAGTCTTGGGTTTGCTCTAATCTTGGATATGGATTCATGACTTTTGCTTTCTTGATAAGTAAATATGCCCATTAATTTAAAACGCACCTCTGGAGTCCTCGTACCAACCATGCACGTCACACGATCGCTTTTGTTCAAACAAATAGTGACGTAAGGCAGTAACAAAATCGATGACGTTGAACGACTTTGTCACTTATGCGCAAAGTCGTGTAGTTGAGTACATAAAATACAAGTCGAAGTACATATTTGACGATCTTCGATTGGATCTGCACAAAAAAGAATAAAATGTTTTATTTTGAAGCCACAATTTCTTTCGGTACATACAATAATGATATTCCATATATTTATTCATGCATGTTGATGAAAGACTTAAACACGACTTTGGATAAACTATGGTAACGGGGGATGCTTCTTTGGAGAAAATAATAATAATTAGTGGGAAACACAAATTTAATTGGCACTTATATGTGTCTGTTATATGGACATAGTGGGACATATAAAGAAAAAGGCAGAGAATGATGAAATATTTAAAATACCAGAAAATATCTTTGGTTAATTCAAACCAGAAAATATTCTTGGTTAATTCAAACATTAAGAATTGAAATTATTAATTAAATGAGGATAATATGGTAAATTCATATTTTTTATATTAAAAAAATTAAAATTAAAAACAAAATCAAATAATAAGTTATACTTTTATGAAACATAACTACCCATATTATTTTTTCTTAATTCTAAAAATAAAATAAAAAATAAAAAAGAAAACCACATGTGCCCAAGGGGCTAGTGGGCATAGTGGGACATGTTCACACACCTACTTGGTGTCTTTGGGGACGGTTTACACTCTAGCCCTGGCAATAGGTCAAGGGAATGAATTGCGCTCTATTGAGTGTATTCTATATTCAAGAATCAAAACACGATTTTTTTTCTTTTATTTATTTATTTATTTTCTTTTCATGGTTAAGTACTAGTATAAACTGTTTCCAAAGTCTAAAATTTCGTAGAATTCATTTTTTGAAACAAGAAAGCATTATAACAATTTTTTTTTCTTCAAACGATTCCTCCGTTTGGATGGAGGAAAACTAATTCGAGAATTGAAGAGGAAAAATTGATATTTGCATTATTTATCAACTTAAGCATGAAACTTATTAAATGATGAGCAGAAAAATTAGTGGGAATTGGAGGTCGAGATTTCCGAGTTTAATTTCCACCAAAAGAAGCGTCATGTCACAATTTCTATTGGGCAAAAATTTGTTTTTCCCTGTAATTTATGTCATTTTACAAAGTCAACATACATAAATAAAAACACTAAAATTATTAATTGCCAGAAATTTAAATGATGGAGATTTAAATTCCGTCATTTTAGAATTCTATGTAATTTTTCAATTCCTTCATCCAAACGGAGGGGGAAAAACATTTAATACACATTCACGCGCATAAAAAGAAGTTGGATCCAATGTGAAAGTGAAACGTAGCATATGGCAAATTGGGAGTATAATAATGAGGTGGATCCTTCTTATACGGTACCGCCCTAGTTAGTGTCCAAGGTGAAGAAGCTTATAAGGCTATAAATAGGGCTGTAGGTTCCATACCGAACTCACTGCAAAGACAAGCCATCCTAGTTATTCTGTGTTCTGATTTAAACCCCAAAATCTAGAGGTTCCATTCCAAGCAAGCCATCACCACGTACGGGCTCGGCCTCCATATCAATCTCTCAAGTAGTCAGTACTACTACTACTACTACTACTACAAGTATTGAAAACATGGAGGCCTCTAAGAAGAATCTATTTGCCATGAGTGACGCAGAAATTTTGGAAGTCATTTATGCCACTCATGAAGTTAGTCATGACCACGATTCCTTTGACGTTCATTCTCTTTTCTCCATCACTCAAAGCATCATTAAGTGTTCAAAGCAGATCGTCGATAGTATCGACCAGAAGGTATGTATGGTACTATTATATACTACACCGTTGAGCTGAGTTTTTTGAGTATTAAAACACTTGTAATTTATTGCTTGCGACTTGTTTCGCAGGTCCCCCAAGTATATGCTGAAAATATGGGTGGAATAACTATTGCACCCAGCTTCAGCACGCCCTTGTGCGTTTTAAAGTCCATAGTTCGAGAGGTAATTTCATTGCCTTCTAATTTATTTTCATCCGTAGGGACTCGAATTTGGGAAACATTATTCATTCTAACAATGAAAAGGATATGGAGAAAAAACAAATGTCACAAAACCAAACGCAAGAATGAATGAAATTGAGATACATGATTAATTAGTATATGTTTGTAGATATAATCTTGATTCTAGACAATATTAGTCAGATTCATGTTAGTGAAGACAGGTGTCCATTGACTGAGTTGTTGACTACAGCTGGCATTGTAACTAATAGCACGTGGTTAAGATTCCAATATTGTTAGATGGTTAATAGTCTGTTTAGTGTTGTGTTAATAGCTTATAAAAGCTAAGTCTCTCTGTAATAGGATTCATTCTATATATTCTGAGGTTTCCTATTCTTTCTTCTTCATTCTTGCAATGGTTATCATGGTTATCAGTTAGTACATATATAACTCATCATAGTAATTAAACATGCAATTATTTCAGGTGCCATGTAAGGCTCCAGGGGAAAAGAATGCCCACGACGCCACGCTGAAAATACTTAGCAAGGTGTCAAAGTATTCATGGGAAGCGAAGGCTGTGCTGGCTCTGGCGGCTTTTTCTTTGGAATATGGAGAGTTCTGGCTGAGTGCCCAGCATCAACAATCTGACCAACTTGCCATGTCTGTGGCATTCCTTAAGGGTGTGCCAATCCTTCTCAAGCCCGAAAACCTCAAGAAACGCGGCAGAGCTATCACTGATCTCAACAATGTGATCATGTCCACATTGCAAGTGATTGATTGCATCTTTCAATTGGAGAAGCATTCCATCACTTATAATGATGTAAAGGAGTTGAGAGAAATCTTGGCAAATGCAAGGAAAGATATCTGGGTGAATGTCTATTGGTGTATCATTACAACCGTAGCTTGCGCCACTAACATCACCCTCCTTACTAGTGATGAGTAAGTTTCATCCACATCTTCTCCATGCTTATACATCATGTACGCCTAATTAATCAATTGTTTAGATTGACAAGCAAACAATATAACATATACATCGCCCAAGTATCATTTACCAAGAACTGATTTGAACGTAGTATAACTGTTTTAATTCATTCATATCAGGGGGAACTCACACGACCTTGTCCAGTATTCTCAGAAGATCACAATCATCCTCAGTAAACTTAAGCAACAGCTTAAGATCTGTGAAGAGGAAATAGGTGGGTTTACTTGATGAGCATTCACGAGGAAATACATATGTTGTTCTTGCAATACAATGCTGACATTCCTTTTTTGTATTATTTAATACAGAGAAGTTACGGCCCTACAAGAAGCTCAAAAACCTCTTCCTAATTCCTACTGAGATTATCGAGGTTATGAAGATCCTAATCTTTTCAACCATTTTCGACGGTTCCATTAAGCAACTGGTTTGCTCTCTCATCATAGCACATTAATTTCTTTTGAATTTTGAATGAATAAAGATACAAATTTGTGTCATGCACTTGATTTTATAATTGCGTGCATAATGTTAATTTCTAACAGGTTCACATCGACATCCTAAGGACGAAGAATGTGTTGTTGTTCATTTCGAGCCTAGAGATATCTGAGGATTATATCGCTTGTCTCAGACCCATATATGATTTTACAAAGGATAATAATGAGTATAAGATTGTTTGGATTCCTATAGTAGAGAAGTGGACTAAAGTTCTGCAACGCAAGTTTGAGGCCCTGCGGGCTAAGATGCCATGGTACACAGTAGGCCAGGCTGGTGCCCACATTGCAGGCATCAAGTACATCAAGGAGGATTGGAACTTTAATGGTAAGCCTATGCTGGTTGTGTTGAACACAAAGAGTCCGCTCCAACATTTCAACGCTCTGCGCATGATTTCGATAATGGTTTTCCGCGTTAATGGATGGCATTAAGATATCCACGTGGGTGAGTTCTTCCTAACAAATTGATGGATGTTCATTTTATAATTTACGTTGTCCATGCTAATTGCACATACACGTAATGCCTGCACACACAAAAAATCAAATAGATATAAGAAATTTGTTGTGTTCTATAGTCTATAGGCAAACACTGTGTATCAAATAAAAATCGAACGACAATAAGGGTAAGCAAATGACTAAATAACTTCTGATTTGGTCCCTTCTTTTTTTTTTCCTTTTTTCCGTGGATGATTTTAAAGGAGAACCTAAAAAAATTAGGATTCAATCGCAGGCTGACGATAATATGTTCTCATGAAAAATTAGGATTTAAAGTGATCACTTTCCTTAAATGCAAACATCGCGCAGTTGGAAACTAACTGTATATATACATTTTATTTCCCACAGAACAAAGACGATTACATTTTCTTCTACGGAGGGGATTCAGTGTGGATGAATCAGTTCAAGGAGAAAGCAACTGCCCTTATAAATGATGAAATAAAAAATGAACCAAAGATTTCTATTGAGTTATATCCTGTGGAGAAGAACGCAAATAATGACAGAGGGGATGACAGCTTTAGCACCTTCTGGTCCGCCATAGAAAGCATGTTCCATATCAAGGTTATCAATAAGCAGATTGAGGACGTGGTAAAACAAGTTCAGAAGCTGCTTTCCTACGAAGATGACAAGAGTGGATGGGCTGTTTTCATCCAAGGCCGTAGGCTTGTGGCCCTTGGTGGTTCGACAATGTATACGGTTCTCGAGAAATACCACACGTGGAATCAGAACGTAACACTAACAGTAGAAAACTTTGGACAAGTTTTTAATCAACAGCATGAGACGGAGGTTGAAGAAACTGGTCACGTCTGCAGCTGCTTTAGCATCCCAGGTGCAACTGGAAGCACCCTAGAGGCAATGGTATGCTACGAGTGTGGCAATTCCATGGAGACATTCTTCAGCTATAAGTGCTGCCATGTCAAGAAGAAGGCGCGTTTGTGTTGGCGAGATATCCTAGCCCTATTAGGATATTTCCTTATTATTCTATTAGGATTTTATTTATTTCATTTTGTATAAATATTATGTAATTAGGACTTTTCTTATTTCATAGTATAATTCTACTAGGGTTTGTAACCTTGTATTATAAATACTTCATTTCGGAGAATGAAATATATATGAAAAATATTCTACCCATATTGTTTGACTTGGCATCAGAGCCGACTTTCTGGTGACCTTTGTTGGGTTTGTCGTATTTGCTTTGTGTTGTGTTTTTTTTTTTTTTTTTTTTTTTTTCTGTTGATGGATGATTCCAAAGACATGGTGGGTGCTAATGCGTCTGCAACAAAGAAGGAACGTCCCTCGCATGATTACTCTACTTCGATTACTTCTGATTATGTCTCTTGGTCTCGTGGTGCGTGTATTACAATTACTACTAGTCGTATGGCAAGTTGGATTAATGGGAAGAAGCCTGCTCCGTCTTCAGATTCCGCTGTCTATGCCGAATGGGAAGAAGATAATTGCCTGGTGCAGTCATGGCTTTCAATCCATGACTAAGCCAGTTCGTGCCTTGTTTGAACATGGTGATACTGCTTTTGATATATGGGAGGCTGCCCGAAAGACCTATATTGTGACTCAGAATAGTTCTCAATTGTTTCAACTCCGACGGCAATCCATACGTACATGTTAGAATGGTGATTCTGTCAAAGTGTTTTATGAAAAACTCCATGCTATCTAGCAGGAGATTGATTGTCTGCGTCCACATGAGTTTAAGTATGATGATGATGGGGCTCGTCGTCTGAAAGAAATTGAAGCCAACCGAGTTTATGATTTTCTTGGAGGACTTGATCCACCGTATGATGGTGTCCGTAGCCATATCCTTGCTCTTAGTCTTGTCCTGCCCCCTATCGAAGCCTATGCCATGATCATGGAGGAAAACACCCGTCAGTCTGCTATGCTTGGAGGAGGTTTAATGGCCCTCAAAGTTGACCCAACACGTCAACGACCGATCGCACAGCACGACACGACCGGTCGCTCCTCGTCCATAAAATTTTCTTCTCCTGCAGGGTCTCCTCCTTCTGGCTCTACCCCTAGCTCTCTTGACGGTCCTCCTAAGTGTCGTCATTGTAGTGAGAATCATTACTTTGAGAAGTGTTTTAAGGAGCATGGTTATCCCGATTGGTTTGCTGACTACAAAGCTCGTATGTACGGTCCCAAGGCCGCCTGCACAGTGACTCAAAATGAGGCTCGTCCTCCGGCCCCGTCTGCAAATCTGTGTGCTTCCGATACCATGCCATGTATGGGTTCTAATACTTGGATAATTGACACTGGTGCTTCTGATCATATGACTTATGATGATAATATGTTTGATGAGTTGTCTCATAACCCTCGTGACCTTTATATTACTAGTGCTAAAGGTTTACCTTCCTAAGTTACCAGTGAAGGCCCCATCCACCTCACTTCTTCTTTACCTCTGTCCCATGCACTCTTCGTTCCAAATATTCGTTGCAATTGGGCTATGCCGTCCCTAGTCGTGCGCCGGACATCTTTGGTCCGAGGATCCTGAGGGGGCGACTCCAGCTGGGTTGGAAGTGGCCGCTGGACCTGTTGCACATCGTTCTGCGGCTTTATCTACTGGGCCACCTGAACAAGGGGCTCGGCTGTTGCGACCGAGCTGGGCGGCATTAGATAAGCGTCGTAGGTTTGACCGGGGTGCGTATGTGTTGCTGTTGGAATGGTTGGACCGTACTGAATGTGGGAGCCTGACGGAAATAATGACGCTTGTAACGGTGAAACGGTCGGATTGCTCTGACCGTACTGCTGTGACGAAGCAGCGGTCGCGTTGCTTGGGCCATGATGGGTCTGGACGGCCATGACGTGAACTGGGCCAAGTTGTTGGACCACGGAATGCGTGGGGCTGCTTTGCCCCAGTGATACGGCCAAAGCATGGAGTGGGCCGTACGCTGTTTCTGCTGGGCAGGTCAGTCCGGGATTTACCCATGTTGGCTGGGATTGCCCACAGCTATTTGTCGGCGGCTGAGAAGGCTGGCCGTAGCCTGACGCTTGGGTGCGGTCAGAGGCACCGAGGCTGTTGCTTTCGCCGTAGAGCTCAAACCTCTCGCGCTCTTGGCTTCTCTGTCAGGCTCTAGGAGGCGTCGCGGATGACGTGACCGACATCCTCTCCTGAAAAAGCGTCTGTAGCTCTGAGGAGAATCTGTCCATTGCGGCCATAAAGGATGTCTCTATCCTGTAGCCCTGCTTAGCCATCAGACCCTCCACTACTGCTTGCTCTTGCATAGACTCGGTAGCACGATCCGTCGTTATTGAAACGCTGGCCGAGATTCTGACCGCGTGTTCGGTCTTGGTGATAGTGTTTGGTGAGGTGGACTCAGGAGCCTCGGAAGTCATTTCGACTGTTTTGTTTTTGAGCTTTGCCTATGCCCTAGTTTCCACCATGAGATTTTGACAAGTGTCCCACCGGGCGTGCCAAAAGTGTTGGCTGCGCAAATCTCACGGCCTTGTGCTCCGGGCCGAGGGGACGTGCTTTAACACGTGGCGTCCTTCTTTTGGATGCGGTGCGGTTGTGCGCGGGCGTGCCAGCACGGTCTACCGTGTGTCGAGATGGTGATGAGGTTTGGGTAGAAGATGGTTAAATGATGCGCCTGTTTTGAGTTCGACTCCTAATCAAACGATTGTGGCCGAGAGAGGAACTGATCTCGGCCGTCAGGTTCACGGCCTGAGCTACAAGGCCGTTTAGTGGTGGTGTTGGCGGCGGGTTTTAGGCGATGCTCCGGCGCGTTGCTCAGAGAGCGACGGTCGTATGATATATGGGGTAAATGAGATGATAACAGAGATGATGCTCCGGCGCCTTGAAAATCAAGGGTCGTATGATATATTGATGAATGGATTTTTCTTACAATCTACCACTACTCCTAGGAAAGCAAATAAAGGTATTGAAAGTGCATTACAGGAAAATATAATTTGCTCCATATGAGGCTTTTGGTTTGGTGTTTGAACCCTTTGAATGTAGTGTTGAGCTTAGTATTTATAAGGGGAGTCCTGGAAGGACAATCGAGGCTGAAAAGACCTGCGTGGTGGAGCCTGATCGGGGCAAGTGGGTAGTCAAATCGGCATTTGGGATCGTGAAGCATGATGGTGTGACCCCCATAAATCCAGATAAATTTCGGCCACCGCCCTGATCGTGGGTTCTGCCCTTTTGGCCGTGGGAACGTATTTAATGCCCTGGTCTGGTGGTTGGTGATCTGACCTCAAGTTGTAAGATTACTTGTGAGAATGTTTGCGCCTAACCACTCTGATTTCCATCACCAAATCCTGACTTCAGTCACTTCCCTGGTGCATTAAATGCTTCTTGCGACCAGTGGATTTGTTGCGATAGTCAGAGGCATTACTTCATTAAATGGGGCATGGGACCCTGAGGCCACGTGGTGATTTAACCAAAGTATCTTCGGTCGTGTCTTTTACGGCCTTCGGCTTCGGCCTACAATACCGCGATCGCGAGGCCGAGAGGATTCTGCCTTTGCAAATTTTCTTTTGTTTTCAGGAAGGCGAAATGCCTAATGAAACGTGGCCGTTTCAGTTCATGAGTAGGTGCTGGGGCCAAGAGGAAGTCCCGTCAGTCAGTTTATGACCATGATTTATTAGGCACTAACATTTGCGCTACGAATTTTTTTTTTCCGTTGCTGGAGTGTGTTTTGCACGACGAATTTTTTTTCGTCGCGCAAATAGTAAAATGTAGTAGTGAAGTTTGAAGTTGATCTTTAAGTACCTCAAGTTCTTGTGTAGAAAAATCATTCGGGTAAAGTTGAGCAAGCCGAATGAGCTTTTGCTTATCAAAACAAGAAAATGAATCATTTGGACTCAGGCATGCCAAGCAAAGTAACAACTCAGTGTTGGCCTCATTGGAACGACTATTCAGCTCTTGGAGTTGCAAAGCTATCACTTCATAGAAAAAATCAACACGATAATAATGCATATTTGTGATTTTTGGACCATTGCGTCGTGACCTCCCTCGAGCTAGAAACATATCATCCATGTTAGGAATATCAATACTTTGATTCTTGCAAAAAACAGAAACTTCCTCCAACAAAGAATCTCATCCATTCTCCCTCATGTTCTAGTATTGTTGCTTACATAATTCAACTAAATCCATGGCATTCACAATATCTTGATCATCCCTCTGTAAGGCTTGTGACAATGCATTTGTGATTCCAAGTATATTCCTCATCAAAAGCAAACTGAATACAAAATCAAATGATTGCACTAATCCTAGCAGTATAAATGCCTCATGTTTTTTTTATCAACACTCAATCTATCATTTGCAATTTCATCAAGCACATCAATTGTAGATAAGAACATGGTAATAAAGTTTATCAACGTACCATAATATGAGCCCCAACGTGCGCTTAATCTCTGTTGCTTGATTTAAACATTTCCCACTAGAAAGCTCCCCATTGGTCAATGCTTTAGCTACTTTGAGAGCTTGTTTATCCCAAAGAATGTCACGACGCTTCGAGGATGCTCCAACAATATTTACCACATTAGAAACTAAGGTGAAGAAAGCACCTATGAGGCTGTGCTTTTTTGCCAAACCCACAATAGCCAACTGAAGTTGATGTGCAAATCAGTGAACATAGTAAGCAGACTCATTTTCCCTCATAATAAGTGTCTTCTGACCATTGAACTCTCCACTCATATTACTGGTCCCATCATAACCTTGACCTCGTAATCTGCACATACTCAATTTATGTCTAGAAAATAATGCATCAATACTTGCTTTAAGTGACTCATATGTGGTACTTGTAAAATGTTCAATACCTATGAACCGTTCAATCACACATCCTTTCTTGTCTACGTAACGAAACATAACAGCCATCTGCTCTTTTACTAATACATCACGAGATTCATCAACTAAAATAGAAAATAATGCATCATCCATATCTCTAATAATAGCATCAGTAGTTTCAACTGCTGCAGCATTGACAATGTCTTTCTGAATCTTAGGTGAAGTTACTTTAAGGTTTTCAGGAGCATTTTTCAAAGCAACAACTCTAACTTCCTCATTGTGATCAATAAGAAATTGCAAAAGCTCAAGAAAATTACCTTGGTTGCTTGAATCCTCAGACTCATCGTGGGCACGAAAGGCAAGACCTTGTCGTAGAAGAAATCTAATACAATCAACAGATGCATTCAATCTGATTTTGTAGTCAATTTGAGATTGATGTGAGTTCTTATGGAAAACATTTTCAATATGTTGTTTTTCATTCATTAAGGCTTGACATTTTTTCAGAGCTTGGTTATGGGAAATGTTGGGACCTCCAACATGAACTTGAAATCTTTCCTTTTTCTTCCAATTTGAAAAACCTGTACCAACAAATGAGTCGCCTCCAGCTTTCTCTCCCAAATTTGTTTTAAAAAGATAACAACATAAGCAAAATGCAACATCTTCTTTGATGCTATATTCCAACCAATAAGGAAATTCATCAAACCATGCCGGGTTGAATTGTCTTGACTCTTTTCCAAATTTCTTTTAAGGGATATCATGATTTCTAGGCTGACAAGGGCCTTTTTGTAAGTAAGCTCTTCTAATTTCATCTTGAATGTTCGAATTGTAATCTAAAATCCGAGTTTGTAAACCAAGATCATAATGAAGATCTAACATATTGATTTCTATGCGACTTTGCTTTGAACTATCATCACTTCTCCCAATAGGTCCCGACAACTCCAACTCATATTTTCTTTTAAAATATTTTTCCATAACTGTCATAAATAGTTTATATTATTTTTCATCAAGATATATATATATATATATAGATAAATATAAAATCAATCATCAGTACAAATTGAATGCATATAAATAAGAATATAATGAAATTAGTTTGTAAAAAACAACTAAGTACTAACCTGTAAAATCAATTAAAGTAGCGAGTTTGATTTGTTGGGTTGTAGACTTCTGCCAAATCACGAGTTTGGCGGCTGAGTTCTCCACAAAATTACAAAATGAGTGAACTTGGTGGGATCTCTATTCTTCTTTTTTAACATAGGGTTTAGGGTTTTTCTTTTTTAATATAAGTTTTGGGCTTTAAGTGTGTATTGAATGGGCTATGTGGGGGCTTTACTTGGAAAGGACCTAAAAATAATTAAAAATTATGAATTTAAGTGGGATTATACGGTTGAAGGGTTTTTGGTCAGTGTGGGCAGCTGCCCACAGTTGTCTTTGATTGGGTCCGCCAGTCGAAATTATTAGAAATAGAAACATAATTTAAACAACAAAAATAGAAAGAAAACATAGCTAATTGAAATTACATGAGCGTGCTCCCACAACTGATGCATGAAGTCTTCTGAAATATCTTTCCAATTCTCTAATGTTATAGGCACCAACTCCCTTCTTGTGGCACCAAGGAGAGAAGCAAACTTAGCTACATCTTCCCCATGTGGCTGGCCTCGAGGATCTTTCCTTTGCTAAGATATTGCAATCGTGCTCGACCCCTAGGTTTCCTCTTTTCTTCTTTTGTCTCAAATTCACCAACCTTGCCTTTTCCTTTGGATGACACATTAATTCCTTATGTAGTAGGCATGTTTTGCTATAAATATTAGTTATTAACAGCACGCTTTACTATCTTTTTAAAGCGTGCTTTGTCATATACCGTAAATATAAGTTATTAACGACATGCACAAAAAGCGTGCCGTAAATATCAAGGCGTAAAAGCTTCAATTTGGTGTAGTGTATTATTATTTCAATTTCTGCTTCAATTTTCGTTTTTCTTTGTGATTTAAGCATTCTATGAAAGCCAGACAGTAGTTCCGCATCTACATTACAAGCAAGAAAGAGGAATAGCAATAGACAAAGAAAACTAAAGAGATCAAAACCTAAGTCCGCAATATTTATCCATTTGATTAAAATGAAGTCATTTTTTTTGCTTTTATGCGGTTATTCGTTTTTCTTCATTTTTGTATTTTTATTAGGTTATTCTTTCTTGTTTTTGTTAGTTACATGATGTGGTTTGGCTCTTTAAAATTGAAGAGGAGCATATCCCAACAACAAATGACATTTTTTGACACTTGTTAAAGTTCAAAAGAGAAAAAGATTGAAAGAATTCCAAAAAAATTAAAGGAATTTTCAAAATCTCAAAACTTTATTTGTTTTCAGTAATTTAATATTTTTTTTTCCTTTTTTTTAGAACTTTGTTAGTTTTGCTGGAATTTAAAGAGTGTTAAAATCATATAGGTTTAAAAATATACATATCATCCTCTTCAATTTTAAGAATCCAAGCAATTTTCAAATCAATGCTCAAGATGATAAACTGATAACTAGTGGGAAAATCCAACAAATAGTATAACCAACTTACATTAAATAATCATTAAAACTGCCATGTGCATGATATTCATATGTTAGAATTAAATATGACAATGGCCAGTCTGGCCCAGCAAGCAAGCATAATTGATCAAAAGTCGCCCTTCAATTCTTTTAACAAGGGTTCTCGAGTTCAATATAGTCATTTTTCACATGTTTTGGGGAATGAACTTCGTGAAAAACATAAAACCATATGAACATGTAAAAAATATAAAATCATATGAACATGTGTGTACATAATATGATGTTATATAGCGTATATATCCAAAGAAATTGAAGACATTTCTGCATTGACATGTATTATTAACTTCAATTAATACATCACCGACGTACGTTATTGTTTCCATTATTGACAGCGGCATATGATGTTATGTGTACATATAGAAAGAAATTGAAGACAACTCTCACTGACATGAACTATTAACAATCTCAATGAATACACCACCGATATGTCATCGTTGCATTATATTATGTATTAATTGAGGTTGTTAATAGTACATATCAGTGCAGAGTTGTCTTCTATTTCTTTGGATACGTACACTACTACAATATCATACAATGTTTTGAAAGGCATGCCTAAGCGCGCCTGAGAGCGTGAGGCGAGGCGAGGCGATGGTAAAACGCCTCAAGCGTACCTCTGTTTAGCGATTGTTGTTAAAGGCATACGCCAAGTTACGGAGGCGTATGCCAAATTCCAAAATCGTACGCTCGAAATTGCAGGGGCGTTGCAGAGCGGAGAAGAAGACAATGAAACCTAACTTTATTTCTCTCAAAACGATCCCGTATGGTACAGCTTTTGTGTTTAAAAAGTCAAGCAAAACGCCAGCGTTTCAACATCTATGGTTTTTAAGTTTAAGAACATAACATAAGCTCAGGTCTCACTTCTTCCATTCCTTCACAATAAAAAATTATTATATTAATTAGTCCCTCCTGTGCCTTTTATATTCTGCTCTCACCCAATAGAAGGTTCACAAAAATCAGATTTCCCTCTGTTTCAATTTTGACTAGCTCTCAGCCATATCCACCCACATATTTCTAATGGAAGCCTCTCTTTCAATCTATTCAAACAAGATGTGAATCCTATCTTATAAATTTGAATTCATATCCAGTCTATAACAGTCTAAATTAATTTAGAGCTTAAAAAGAGGCTTGAGATGTTTCAATTTATGAATCAATGACCTCACAACATATATGGATCATATGTTTTACATATTATAAATATACTAATATATTTTTATTTGTGATAATTGAATGTTCAAAAGGCTTGTGCCTTATCGCCTCGAGGCTTACGCCTCGCTTTGCGAGACATAAAACGCCTCACTTCAACGCCTCGCCTTTCAAAACATTGATATCATATGACGTTGGAAATAATGCAAACGATGACGTCTTTCAAGTCTTTTAGTAACAAGGGTTCTTGAGTGCAGTAGTCATTTTCACATGTTCTAGAGACTGAACGTCGTGAAAAACATAAAATCATATGAACATGCGAAAAATATAAAATCATATGAACACATGTGTGTACAAAGTATGCTGTTATAGTAGCTTACGTCAAATTAATTACATTGAAGAGGCGGTTAGGGTACAAAACTTTACCCTTCGAATTGCCACGTATGTCAACAGACCACAATTTGAAGAATTTACTTTGAAGAGACTATCGGAAGAAAGCATTTTTGCTCACTTTTTTTTTTTTTTTTTTTTTTTTTTTTTTTTTTTTTTTGGGGGGTATTCAAAAGGTGAAAGAAAGATTAAATGGTGGGGGGGGGGGGGGTTTCCAGGTTCGGCTTGCTTCCTGGTCACAAAGTACTTTCAACGGGTTTCGAACCCCTACCATTGAGACACCAGATAACTCGCCAGCTGAAGGTGGCAATTTGCTTGTGTCCATAAACATAAATATGGTTACATAAATCAAAGTAAAAAATCAACAATAATTACGCATATAGACACGTATCAAATATTTTAAACGATAATCATTATATAACTTGAGTTAAAATATTCAGCAAAAATATTTCCCCATTGAAGTTGCTATTATATGTGCAAGGCCAACCAACACAAGTCACGTGACCACTTAAAAAACCACACAAGCATATGGATACAAATTGAGCAACAAAAGTCAACAAAGGTCACAATGAAAAAGTTATGAACAAACACACTTATTAATTCCAATGCAATGCCTAAGATCGTTCATATTTATTATTAGTAATTGGATCGGCCCTCATGACGATATCTGAATTTTCGGCGATTTTGACACAATTAATTTCGATGATTTTGATGCTATATTGGGATCGATCATTGACACCTATATTGCCAACGACGTCATCGTTGGCATTACGGTAATCAGCATACAACTTGAGTTAAAATAATAAACACAATTATTTTCCTATTAGAGTCGCTCTTATATGTGCAAGGCCACCCAACACAAGTCACGTGGCCACTTAAAAAACCACACAAGCATATGGATACAAATTGAGCAACAAAAGTTAACAAAGGTCACAATGAAAAAGCTATGAAAAAAACACACTTATTAATTCCAATGCAATGCCTAAGATCTTTCATAGTTATTATTAGTAATTGGATCAGCCCTCGTGACGATATTTGAATCTTCGGAGATTTTGGTACAATTAATTTTCGATAATTTTGGAGTAATATAGGAATAGCAATGCAAACTCAAACTAAAGGTAGCATGCTAACCGGATTCACAAATTTTCCCACAAGTGACGTCAAAATCCTATGAGATGCTTTACAGAAAATAGCAAGGATTCTAATATTTGAAATCCAGGGACAAAATTATGCCACCACTAATGCCAAATTATCCAAACAAGAATCAAATATGAACCTAAATTGAGAAGTCATTCATAAATATCTCAATAAATCGTTCCACCATGTTAGAGAATTGCTCATCATGCAATGGGAAAAAA